TTGTGATGTTTTTATCAGCTGTTTGGACTCTCCTTCTGACGGCACCCATTCACTGCAGAGCATCCACTGGTGAGCAATTGATGTAATGCTACATTTCTCCAAATCTGATGAAGAAACAAACATATCTACACTTTGGATGACCTGGGGGCGAGTACATTTTCAGCAAATTTTCATTTCTGGGTGAACTATTAATTACCTTTAGGGTTGAAACCTTAAATGAGCTTTCAGACTCTAAAATTCACTCCCTGCTTTCTGTCATTTTCATTTCTCCATCTGTTCTCATTTCTTCACCGTTCACACCATCTTCATGGCAGCTGAATGTGTGTGCGTTCAATAAGATCGAACTAACAAAGACACTAACTCATTAACAGATTCAGCCAATCAGTGCTGCATTCAGTTCTCAATTAACCAATTACTGACACCGATCATGAATATTAATGAGGATCAGTTTCTGAAGATTTATAACCCCTGTCTCTCTCCCCTCCCGAGCTGACCTCGTGTCTGTCTGTCTGTCTGTCTGTCTGTCGTGCTCTGCCTGCTCAGTGTTTTCTTGTCTCCGCTCCGGCTACGTCTGTGTGTCTTCAACAACACGGCCACAATGTTTCCGCTATCGGCGTGGTGGCTTTTGAGAAAATGAACCAAGAGCAAAAGTGACACCATTGAGAGGATGTTTTCCTGAAACAGATGTGTTGACAGACAGACGCTTCATGGTTTGTGCGTAAAGCTCCCGCTCGACTCAGCTCCGTCCTCCCGGGCCTCAGCCGCTCTCCTTAGACTGGTGGGGATCCAGCTGGGAATATGATTTATTTAAAGGCACAGTTCACCCAAAAATAACACTTCTGTCCTGATCGACTCACCCTTGTGTTGTTTTCTGTTGGACACTGTTGGTTATTTAGAAGAATGTCCAAACTGCTTTATTTTTTTTACAGCGAAAAGCTCAGAAAAGGACTATCTATCTATCCACTTCTGTCTGTAAGAAATTAATTGAATAGTGATTTCAATTTCAGTGTTTTTATTTTATTGTATATTTTATTTTATTTTTATGTTTCATGTCTGGCTATATGCAAAAATAATTTCCCTGTTTTCTTTTTTACATTTTATTTTCAATTTTATTTAAATTTAATTTTTCCTAATGTCCATCTGGCTATTAATGCAAAATGATTTTCAGTGAATATCGCTTTAAATTTCAGTGTTTTTCTTTTAGTGTATATTTTATATTTCATTTTATAGTGCACTTTTGGCTGTATGTGAGAAGATTTTCAGTGAATGGTGATTTAAATTTCAGTTTCTATATTTATTTATTTATTCATGCCTGGCTATATGTAAAAAGTTTAATAGTGAATTATTTTATTTTTGTGGTCCACTTCTGGCTTTATGTGAAAAATAATTACATTCTATTTTATTTTTGTGGTTCACTTCTGGCTTTATGCGCAAAATGTTTCAGTGAACATAACAGTGAGTTATTTAAATTTCAGACTTTTTCTCAAAAAGCTATCGTTTGACTTCTGAGCTCTTTGAACATAGCACTTAGGTAATATAAACTTTTTTTTTTTATGTCCTTTTTGGAGCTTGACAGCAGTGGTCATCATCCACTTTCATTGTATAGACCATCATGGAACGGGAACATTCTTCAAAATATCTTCTTTTATGTCCTACAGGTTTGGAATGACATGAGGGCGAGTCGTTTGACATTTTTAAGTGAACTATCCCTTCGAATCAAGAAAAAAGCATCACATTGGCTGTCCCTGCCAGTCTAAAGACAGTCCGATCCTCCCGAATGTCTCTCTTTTCCCTCCTGCTCTCAAAGCATCACATTGGCTGTCCCTGCCAGTCTAAAGACAGTCCGATACTCCCGAATGTCTCTCTTTTCCCTCCTGCTCTCTGTGTTCGACTGTATGTGCCATTTGCTGTGTTCCTTTACACTATTTGTTTACTCCTTCTCTCTCTTTTGTCTTTCCAGCGCTCATTTTCTCTCTTTCTCCTCAAAGCTTCACCTCTCTGGAAACCAAACGCTTCCTTCCTGGTCTCTTTGTCTTTCTTTCCGTCGTTTTTTACTTTCTGTAGAACTAATGTCCAGCGTTTCTGGCTCTGTATGTGCTTTCGTTTAACTCTCCTTTCTCTCTTTCTCTCTGACTGACTGACTGCAGGGTTTCTTGTCTTTCCAGGCGTCTCTCTCTCGCTCTCTCTCTCTCTCCTGCAGCTGTGCTGGTTTGGTTGACGTCTCTCTCATGGTTTTGTTCGACTCTCCAGTCATGCGAATAATCTTCTGCCTCTCCATCACAGAAAAAGCGTCTCTCTTCCTCCTACGCTGTCTTTTGTCTCTCTTTCTCCCTCCAGCTGTTACTGTGTCTCCGTTTCGTCTGTATCCGTGTACCGCCTTCATCGCTTTTCTATGTTCATCCTGTAGTCGTCTTGTCTCTCTCTCAGTCTTTCTGTTTGTATATGAACTGTGTCTGATCACTCAGTTTCATTCAGATGTCAGCATTTGTCCTTTTCACTTTCTCTGTCTGTCTCCTCTCTCTCTCTCTCTCTCTCTCTCTGTGCTCTTTTGGCCCCTGCTCTGGTTTAGTTTGGTCCTGTTAACTAGTTCAGTAGTTTAGTCAAGCATTAAAGGAATGTGTAGGGGTTCAGGACAGGTTACGCTCGACTGGCAGCATTTGTGGAAAAATGTTACTTACCACAAAAAAATAACTTTAACTTCACTGTCATGACCGCAAGTTATCTGCCTACAAAAGTTATTGGTAAAAATACTCTATGACCTTGCATTCTACTTTTAAACCCTCCATTTTATTTTATTTTTATTGTATTTTTTTTTCTCTTTTTTAAGCCAGAATATTCAAGAGCCAGAATATTTTGTCAATACACATTTATTTATTTATTTATTTATTTATGTATGGCTGAGTGAGTGAGTCAAAATATTTTCTGTTGCAGTATACATTTTATTTATTTTATTTTTTTAATGGACCAATAAGTCATGTTGTGCCATGTTATGGCAGAATATTTAAGAGTCAAAATATTTTTTTGGTAATTACTCATTTATTTATTTATGAGTGAGTGAGTGAGTGAGTTATTTTATTTTTTAAGTGGCGAGATTAATCAAAATTACTTTCTGTGGGAGTACACATTTTATTTTATTTTATTTTTAATTAAGTGATGAGTCAAAATAATTTTCAGTGGCATTAAACATTTATTTTATTTGTATTTTTTTGAATAGAGCAATTACTCACAATTATTACTGTGATGATACAAATTTTTTATTTGTTTGTTTGTTTATTGGAGTGGTGGGTCAAAATAATTTTTTGGGCAATACACATTTATTTTATTTATTCCTTAAAGGAACACTCCACTATTTTTGAAAATAGGCTCATTTTCCAACTCCCCTAGAGTTAAACAGTTGAGTTTTACCGTTTTCGAATCCATTCAGCCGATCTCCGGGTCTGGCGGTAGCACTTTTAGCTGCAGCTTAGCATAGATCATTGAATCTGATTAGACCGTTAGCATCTCGCTTCTGTAGATAACTTCTGTAGTTACATCATGTACTAAGAACGACGGAAAATGAAAAGTAACTCTAGGGGAGTTGGAAAATGAGCCTATTTTCAAAAATAGTGGAATGTTCCTTTAAACTAAGTAAAACTTTTTTGTGTAACAGTAAACATTATTTATAATGGATGCATGAGTTAATGAGATAATTATTTTCTGTGGTAATAAACATTATATCACAAATGACTATCAACCATCTTGGCTTGTCCTGAACCCATAGCATTCCTTTATGTAGATTTTCCAGTCCAGGCCAACCGTCCCAATCCGACTTCGGACACCAACCCTTGGAAAACACAACGGACCACATCGTGATGTGATGAATTGACAGCTTTTTATGTTTGCTGAGACATTAATGGCAGTTAATGGTGTCTTTTGTATGTTTTATTTGTATTTTTGGCTGTGCTACAGCATAAACTGAAGTAACTTTTTGTCCCACAATGTTTTTATGTTTTGTAACAGAAAATGTGTAAAAGTTTGAACTATGTGATTTTCCTGTTCTATTTCTCTGTTGTGGCTTTATTTCATTGTGTTCGAGCGATTGAAAGTAATACGCATTCCCATGCTTGTTATTAATTTGTCTTCTTCATATTCTTGTCCGTTTCTAAACTTTGTGACGAAGCCGGTCAGAATAATACGAGTCGGCGCTCTTAGAGTTCATCGCCAGACCTGGAGATCGGCTGAATGGATTCGAAAACGGTAAAACTCAACTGTTTAACTCTAGGGGAGTTGGAAAATGAGCCTATTTTCAAAAATAGTGGAATGTTCCTTTAAACTAAGTAAAACTTTTTTGTGTAACAGTAAACATTATTTATAATGGATGCATGAGTTAATGAGATAATTATTTTCTGTGGTAATAAACATTATATCACAAATGACTATCAACCATCTTGGCTTGTCCTGAACCCATAGCATTCCTTTATGTAGATTTTCCAGTCCAGGCCAACCGTCCCAATCCGACTTCGGACACCAACCCTTGGAAAACACAACGGACCACATCGTGACGTGATGAATTGACAGCTTTTTATGTTTGCTGAGACATTAATGGCAGTTAATGGTGTCTTTTGTATGTTTTATTTGTATTTTTGACTGTGCTACAGCATAAACTGAAGTAACTTTTTGTCCCACAATGTTTTTATGTTTTGTAACAGAAAATGTGTAAAAGTTTGAACTATGTGATTTTCCTGTTCTATTTCTCTGTTGTGGCTTTATTTCATTGTGTTCGAGCGATTGAAAGTAATACGCATTCCCATGCTTGTTATTAATTTGTCTTCTTCATATTCTTGTCCGTTTCTAAACTTTGTGACGAAGCCGGTCAGAATAATACGAGTCGGCGCTCTTAGAGTTCATAAGGTCATCTGGGTTTGAAGGTTTGATTCTGTGGCAAAGAGAAAGAAACACAGGGCAAGTCACACATGACTGGTATGTTTAGTGATCTCTGTTTGTCTCTGTCTGTCTCTCACCCTGCAGTAGGAATATGGGGAATAAGCCAGCTAACAGTCCTAAGGGTCAGCCGCCAGACGCAGACGGCCATTCCTCAGTGTCTGACCTTGCCAACTCGCTCACTGGAGACATGGTGATGGTAGGACAGTGTGTTTGCATGTAGCATCCTGGTCCTGAATAGTCTTTCTTATTGCCGCCATAACGTCTGAATCACACTGCAGTTCATTCGGCCCCCTTAGACAGGAAGAAGAAGTCTGAACGACATGTAAAGTAACCAGGGGAATATTAAATAGGTGAAAATGCTAACTGATTTACTGAAGGGCATGACATTGATAAATAGGTGCTTTTTTAGCCTTTAAATACCTGCTGAGTGTCTCAAAACTCTTAAGGCAAGACACTACAGGCAAAAAATGTTTTTTAATGCACTGGTCAGTTTTGTATGTAAGTTTGTTTACACCACAGGATAAAAAATTTTAAAAAGGAGGGGGAGGGGGAAGGAAAGTTGTGAGTTTATATCTCGCAGTTCTGAGAAGAAAAGTCAGAATTGTGATTAAAAAATTCGAAATTACCTTTTTTATTTTTTATTCCGTTGTGGAAACAAACAAACAAACAATAAATAAATAAATAATTGAGATGTAAACTCAATTGCGTGAAAAAAAAAAAGTCAGAATTACGAGATATAAACTATTAAAAATAAAAAAATTAATTCCTCAAAATTGCAAGTTTATGTCTCATAATTCTGAGTTTAGATCTAGCAATTCTGACATTTATAAACTTGGAATTCTGAGAAGAAAAGTCAGAACTGTGAGATATAAACTCGCAATTACAAGAAAAAGTCATAATTTTGAGTTAAAGTCATAATTACCTTTCTTTTTGTTTCATGAGTGGGTTAAAAAAAAAATTGCGAGATGTAAACTTAGAATTGTGAGGGGAAAAAGTCAGAATTCTGAGTTTATATCTCGCAATTCTTTTTTTTCTCAGAATTACATGTTTATATTTCACAATCCTGAGTTTAGATCTTGCAATTCTGACATTTATAAACTCACAATTGCAAGAAAAAAAAAGTTATAATTGTGAGTTAAAAAGTCTTAATTACCATTTTTATTTTTCCTAAGTGAAAAAAAAACAGAATTGCGAGATGTAAAGATTTTTTTCTTAGAATTTCACATTTTTGTTGTTGATTTTATACAACATTTTATTCCTAAAAACATTCAATTACATTTTTTTTTCTGTCTGTTGACAGTATTTTCTGATTGATGGAATGATAAAAATAGATATGCAAATCCCCTCTGTAAAAACCTCTAACTCTAATATATGAACAAAATGAAAGAAGAATTTTGAATCTGGCTTTATCCAGTGTTCAGATTTCTGTTCTGAAAATGTATGCAAATTAGTGCATATTTAATAAGATAATGCATTCATTAACATATTTAAAACTAACATTTCAGACAACTTACAATACAAAAGATATGTGCAATTCTTAGTTAAATCAATCAACTGGGGAAGTATAGTGATATCGGTTAGCTCATTTTTTACCCTTATTCACCTGTGGAGTCTTGCCCTAAATATCTTAAGACGTGTCTGTGTGTGTTTGTGTTTCTCGATCAGTAATAACAGCAGGCGTCTCTGAATTAGGCTGAGGTGTTTATGCTTTTGCGCTGTTCTTCACGTTCGTCTTTCTCTCTCACGCTCTCTTTAGTTGTCTCCGGGGTCGGAAGACGACGACCACGAAGGTCCAGTGAGCGAGAAACTGGGCAGGATTCAGTTCAGCTTGGGCTACAGCTTCCAAGACACGACTCTGACGGTGAAGATACTCAAAGGTCAAGACCTGCCCGCTAAAGACTTCTCTGGGACGTCCGACCCCTTCGTCAAAATCTACCTACTGCCCGACAGAAAGCACAAACTCGAGACCAAAATCAAGAGGAAAAATCTCAACCCTCACTGGAACGAAACCTTCCTGTTTGAAGGTCAGTTTTTAGTTGAAACAATTCTCTCATTAATTCCCTCTTGATAAAAATACAAACTACATTTAAAACAATCTCACAAAAAAATAATACCTCCCACCGGGTGGAGGTGGCTACGGGTGCGAGGGCCCTTTAAACACTGCATGCAGCTTTAATTTGTTGTTGTTTTTTACATGACAGTAATGAGAATTTGAGAAGGAAATATGCTTAATTGTCAGGAACACAATGTCGCCATACAAAAATGTTCTGGTTTTATTATGCAAAACATTTTCTTTTGAATTTGGGATGAATTATGTCCTGTTTTCATCATTCTGGATGAATCTAATCTCACATGTCTTCAGGATTCCCGTATGAGAAGGTGCGGGAGAGAACGCTGTATCTCCAGGTGCTGGATTACGATCGGTTCAGTCGTAATGACCCGATCGGAGAGGTCTCGATTCCTCTGAATAAAGTGGAGCTCGGACAGCTGAAGACGTTCTGGAAGGATCTCAAACCCTGCAGTGATGGCAGCGTGAGTCACTTTTCCATACAATGAAAGCAAAAGTAGTCCATAGGACTAGTGCACTATATTATAAGTCTTCGGAAGGCTTTATAATAGCTTTGCGCAAGTAACAGATTGAAATTGATGGCGTTATTTTCTGAAAATCTTCACTTTCAAATCTCATTCAAGCTTGTGTCTGTTTGCATGTGTGTTGCAGGGAAGTCGTGGAGATCTGCTGTTGTCTCTGTGTTATAACCCCACTGCCAACACCATCACTGTTAACATCATAAAAGCTCGCAACCTCAAAGCCATGGACATCGGGGGCACCTCAGGTACACGTATAATAACAAACACACGGGCTGAGATGCCATAATCAATGAATACATGTCTCATTTGCATAACTCACAGGCTCTCGTTCTCTGATTGGCTGTAGACCCCTATGTAAAAGTATGGCTAATGCACAAAGACAAGCGAGTGGAGAAGAAGAAGACAGTGACCATCAAACGCTGCCTGAACCCCATTTTTAACGAATCCTTCCCTTTTGACGTGCCCGCACATGTTCTCCGAGAGACAACCATCATCATCACCGTCATGGATAAGGATCGACTGAGCCGCAACGATGTCATTGGAAAGGTATATACATATATATATAAATAATATTAAAATTAGTGCTGTCAAACGATTAATCGCATCCAAAATAAACACTTTTGTTTACATAATATATGTATGTATGTTGTTTATATTTATTATGTATATATAAATACACACACATGCATGTATATATTACAGAAAAATAAGTTGTTTATATATTAAATATATTTATTTATAATATAAATTTTATGAATATAAACATAAACATGTAAATATTTTCAAACTATATACTGTATGTGTATGTACTAATATATACATAATAAATATACACAGAACACACACATATATTATGCAAACAAAAACTTTATTTTGTATGCGATTAATCGCGATTAATCGTTTGACAGCACTAACTAAAATATATATTTATTATACATTTTTGTATATTATAACATGTATATGATCAATATAATTAAATATATTATTGTCAAAATTATATTTATTTTTTTACAAATTATTTTTATATATTATAACATGTATATGATCAATATAATTAAATATATTATTGTCAAAATTATATTTATTTTTTTACAAATTATTTTTATATATTATAACATGTATATGATCAATATAATTAAATATATTATTGTCAAAATTATATTTATTTTTACAATCAGAGCAGCACTTATTTGGCCAAAAATACTCTAATTTAGAGTATTGAACGTGAATACATAAATTTACACTAAATACAGTTAATAAAACTATGTAACACTAAATTATATAACTTCACTAGAAACCTAGTCATAAATGGCAGTGTTAAACTACATTCTTTGCTACAAAAAGATGACGTAAAATGCAGTGCATTAATCAGTTAATCAATAAATCGGTTCATTTAAAATAAGGCATCCTAATGAACTGATTGACTAAAATGAATCAGACATCCCAGTGCCTTTCGGAACAGATTATTTTAGATCTTTATAGTTTGATTTTTTATTTTTTTAGAGAAGCTTGAGATACTATGACTATACTATATTTTAGTAAATAAATCATATATATTGTATATTAAATAATATATACATATAATTTAATTATTAAAATTTGAATTTTTATGTAATAATGAGATCTGCTGTTGTCTCTGTGTTATAACCCCACTGCCAACACCATCACTGTTAACATCATAAAAGCTCGCAACCTCAAAGCCATGGACATCGGGGGCACCTCAGGTACACGTATAATAACAAAAACATAAACATGGGCTGAGACGGCATAATCAATGAATAGCTGCATGTCTCATTTGCATAACTCGCGGCCTCTCGTTCTCTGATTGGCTGCAGACCCGTATGTAAAAGTATGGCTAATGCACAAAGACAAGCGAGTGGAGAAGAAGAAGACAGTCACCATCAAACGCTGCCTGAACCCCATTTTTAACGAGTCCTTCCCTTTTGACGTGCCCGCACATGTTCTCCGAGAGACCACCATCATCATCACCGTCATGGACAAGGATCGACTGAGCCGCAACGATGTCATAGGAAAGGTGCTTCCTTTATATATATATATTTAGAAATTCAGACCGCTTATTTGCATACCGACATGGTTGAAATTAATCACCATTATATTTCGACTAACTGTAATACTGTATAAGATTTCCCTTCGAACTGAAAGCATAAATCTCAGCTATCTGCTGCCAGTTTCAGAACAAAACGCAAAACTGTGATGCTTTGTTCACTGCAGCGCTTCACTATTATTCATATTATTAATATTAATATTAAATAATATAATATTATACAATAAACAAATTTTAAATTCATAATTTAAAAGGGTTGGGAATCGGTCCTATTTTCAAAACAAAATACTAGAAAGTAATGATTTCCATGAAATTCGTTGACTGTTGCAGAACGCTGTGCCAAAGCCCTTTGACCGTGTTTTTGGCACCACGGTTCAGCAGCCGTACTGAATCAAAAGCGGCACGACAACAGAAAATGGGGTTCTTCAAAACTACTAAAAGTATCATTAATGGAATCATTTAGGAACAGGAATCATTTAGTGGAATTGGAAACGAGTCGTTAAATTCTTTATGATTCACCACCTGGTTTTGAAAAGAGCGGGAACCCTGCTGTGCCCTTCAGTCTTGTTTACCATCATCTCTTTCTCTTTTGTTCTCTCTCTCAGATCTACTTGTCATGGAAGAGTGGTCCTGCCGAGGTCAAACACTGGAAGGACATGTTGAGCCGGCCACGCACAAACGTGGCGCAGTGGCATGCCCTCAAAGCCTGATTCGCCCTCGCCATTTCCCATTTTTCCACCCGAAACCCCGTCCTTATGCACAAGACTAACTTGCTGCCAGGCGGCACAACACGGGTACTTTTAGCCATCCCCTCTTGTAACCTTTAAGCTTCTCTCTCCTCCACTTTCGTCTTTACTCTGGTAACATGTAGTACAAATGCCTGCTTGTTCGCTAGTTACGCCAACGGTTCTTTTGTGCATTAGCATCCGTTCTGGACTCTGGGATAGTCGCTAAATCCAACAAAGCCATTTAAAGATGCTCTGAAAGCATTCGCGCTGCAGCTACACGTTACCAGGATGTTGTATCCTTCCCGTTTTGGTTTTTTAGCCCTATTCCCCCGTGTTCCTCAGGCTGGAGAGGTCTGACATCTTTGGGATGTGTGAAGGCTTCACCTCGGCCCTGTCCCTCGTCTCATTCCACTAACCACACGTCTAGTCCCGGAGGCTCATGGGAGCTCATTTGGGAGCCTTTAAATTGGCCACTGCTGTAATGGATCGAGTCGCAGGAACTCTGGGAGTAGTATTTTTCCAGGTCTCAAGACGTCCCATGCGAGTCCAACAGCGCCGGAGGGCCGCGGTAATTAAAGCCATGAGGGGAAACGAGACGCTCTCTTTCCATTAGCAGTCTCTCGTTTCTTTTAGTCTCCATTTATAGTTGTTTTTCTCGAAATCCCTGACCTCTCCAAGCCTTTTTCCACATCTATCCCACTTGACCTGATTTTCCGTATCTTTGTTCCTTCTTTCTTTCTCTCTCTCTCTTCTCTCTTTCTTCTTCTTCTAAGTAAACCGCTCCGATTGGTTCAGCTGAAAGCCGTAGACATTGAAACCTTACGCCATCTGGAGACTTACAGACAGCAAATGGACTTCATCCTCGTCCTTTTTGCTTTTTTTTCTCTGTGGTTTCTCTTTATCGCTGACACAATAGTAGTGAAGTCCCTCTTTTTCTCGGGATCCCTTGTCGTCCGTGTGCTGTGAGTGACGTGTCGTAGATCCAACCGAAATATCGTTAAAAAACATTAATCACCAGGGCGGAAAAAGAAAACGACTTTCTCAAAGGATCGTTCCAGGTCTTCTGGGAATTTTGGATGGAATCCGGATGGAAAAAAAAAAAGGACACACACATACAAAAAAAAAAACATAAAAAACTTGATGTCATCTTTTTTCATCAAAAGGACTTTTGAAGAAACCAATCAGAATTGTTCTTCCAGATTTGCTGTGAAATATAGAAGCAAAAAGTTGATTTTGCGTCGCGTGCACCGGATAGTTCTCACCACACTTTGCTGTAGTGACGTGTTTCTTTGTGTGTGTGTGTGTGTGTGTGTGCGCTGATAGGGGCTCATCCTTTACAGAAACCCTCCAGTTAATGGAAAAAAACCTGCCTTTACCCACGAATGTGTGCGTATGAGACTGTTTCAGGAGGTAGATGGGGATGAATCTCACCGAAACATGACCTGGTCACATTTTATCCCAAAAATCAAAAGAAAAAAATATGAAATTATATTTTGAATAAAGAAAATGAAAAAAAAATTTTATTGTGATATTATTTTCATGAAAAACACATTTACCCCCCAAATGCTCATTACCATAAATAACTAATAATTTAAATAAAATTTCAAGGCTTCTGCAGTAAAACGTGAAATCGCGATGCCTTGAAAGTGGACAAAACCGGCTTTTTTTTGACAAAACGTGTTTAGGGGTTCAGATCGCGCTATATGTGGAGAATAATGCACGGCAATCAGCTCTTTTTTTTTAAAAGTGGCGTTTATCGGTTTTTGCAAATGAACTCTTCATATATTTAAAATATACTAACATATATTAATATATAATATTTATAACTAAAATATATAATTGATTAAATATATCGGTTAAATTATATATATTCTTTGGTTATAACAGGGTTGGGAATCAGTTCAGTTTTAATTACTAAAACGATTTTATTTTCTTGACATTCGATTCTATTAACGATTCTTGAATATCTGCATTTGTTCACTGTTACAGAACGTTGCGCTAAAGTCCTTCAACCATGTTTCCACACCACGATTCAGCGGTCGTACTGAATCGGAAGCGGCACGACAACCGAAAATAGGGTTCTTCAAAAGTACTAAAGGAATCGTTAATGGAATTGTTTAGGAACCGGAATCATTTAATGGAATTGGAAACGAGTCGTTAAATTCTTTATGATTCCCTACATGGTTTAGAAAAGAGCGGGAACCCTGCTGTGTCCTTCAGTCTTGTTTACCATCATCTATGTGTGCGTATGAGACTGTTTCAGGAGGTAGATGGGGATGAATCTCACCGAAACATGACCTGGTCACATTTTATCCCAAAAATCAAAAGAAAAAAATATGAAATTATATTTTGAATAAAGAAAATGAAAAAAAAATTTTATTGTGATATTATTTTCATGAAAAACACATTTACCCCCCAAATGCTCATTACCATAAATAACTAATAATTTAAATAAAATTTCAACAAGTATCAATTAAAGGCTTTACCTTGCTACCATGATGTAGAAATATTTTACAATTAATTTACAATTTATATATATATATATATATATATAATGTAGGTACACACAACTGTAATTATAATTATTGAAATTTAAATGCTACAATAAGTATAATACAAACATATATGTATTTTTAAAAATTGTTATTTAACATGACAATAATTATAATGGAATTTTTTTAATAAAATTATTGGTACTACACACATTTTCACCCAAATTTTCATTAAATGATTTCATTTCTTCTGTAATTCTTGCTATTCTAAATGGTGATTCTGATTACCGTAATACAATTTTTTCTGCCTACATTAAAGTTGTGCAATTAATATTACTGCACACAATGTCTGAAAATTTTACAATGTAAATATGTAATGTTAATGGGGTAAATGTGCTAAAACTGTCATGAAATAATGTCACAATTGCAAAAAATGTTAATGGTCTGAAAAACAGGCTTTATTTTCTTTCTATATATATCTATCTAATTTCTTTCTTTTGATTATGATGTGAAATATGACCCAGACATGATCTTGACAGATTTTGTGAGATTCGCCTGTGTGTGTATTACAGCATTAATGTGTATCTTCATCGATGTTAAAAATAATCAAAGTGTGTGAATATGCTGCTCTATTTTCTCATGGCTTCCTTCTGTCTTATAATGAGACTCTTTATCTCTTTTCTCCTCTGAAAAGAGTTGGAGAAATGTGAGCTGCACTTTTTAATGATGTAACACTGAGAAATATAATAGTAATTGTTAATACAATAATAAATAGTTTTTGTATTTTAAGGGAGGAGGATTTTAAAGAGCAAACGGTGCATTCGGGGAGGCTGGACTGGGCTGGACTAGATGATCTCTGTCTTTCTCTCTCTTATCAAAAGCTTTGTTTTTCTGTATATGAGATTGGTGTGTGTGCGTGCTTGTCATGATCGTGTCATTTATGCAGACCGGCTGCTCGTGGCATGACGAGGCATGTGTTAGCGTGAGGTGTGGCGTTTCCGTGGAGGGTGCCGTTGCCATGGGGTCACTATGGGGACGGAGTGAGTGTGCAGTTGTGTAGAGACGCTCAGCTTGACATCGAGACACAGAAGCTGGCCGATTTCTCACTCCCGCTCAAGAACAACTAGTTATTCTGGGCTGAGACCTTGAACAGGACAGACTATTTTACACCTAAATGTCAGGAGCTATAAAAAGTTTTTTTAATAATAGCAATAAGCAAAGTATGATCCAGAACAGCCGAAAATACTTGCTAGCCAATAGCAAAAGATCACCATTTATGGCTGCCAAATTTGATTCGAGATTAATACGTTTAACATTAAATTTATTTAGCACACTTAATGCATTTAATCTGTTCAATACATATTTCTAATATTAGTTTCAATAATAACTTATTGATATACTGTATTTTACTAACACTAATCTGTAGTTGCATGCTACTTTTTTATGTACAGTACCTGTCCAAAAGTTTGGGCACATGTATTTATTTATCGTTTTATCATGTACTTGTTTTTATTTATTTTTTATTATTATTTATTATTGTTGTTTTTTTTTATATTTAAGAATAATAGTAAAGTCATCAAAGTATTGAATAACACAGATAAAAATATAGGACTATGTAGTTATTTTGTATTTAAGCACCATTTATATTTGTCTACAAAACATTTAAGCAGAAGCTTTTGGACCAGAAGCATCATGAGAAACAAATTCACTCCAATGTGAAACTTTTTACTGCTATCTTATGTTTTAGTTATCTTTGTATATTGACACCTATTGGTGTGGATGTAGCATTACAGATACCATTGTCAAAATATTCGAATCGCATGCAGATTTGTCACGTATGATTAATTGATTCCCCAACCAAAAGTGTTCGAGAATGTTCAGACGATCTACAGTATCGAGCTAAAGCAAGTAGTAGTTGGCTGGTCATGTGACCTCAACATGGCGCCCACCATGAAGTTCCACTGTTATGCAAAGTAAAACAAAAAGATATTTGTGTACTTTTCCCTGTTTTTAGGTGTTAAAGTTTTATTATTGGTGTTAAACGGTAAACTGCAAGCTGAATAAAATCAGCAGAATGCCTTGTAATGATTTTCAGCAACTCGATTCTGGCGTCCTAATAGACTGTCCGTGCCAAGGCGGATCTTTGGCAGATCGGAGGCAGTGATGCATCGCTTCTTCCAGACTGTATTTAAGGGTCCGCAGTACATCTGCTTTCAGCCAAGAGCCATCTCAGATCAGTGGAGCGTTTAATAGAGCGCTCTAATGTGCTCGATGTAATCAGATAATAGTACAGCTTAAAAAGTGTGTGTTTGTGTTCGTTCTCCATATCCTTCGCCTTTAGTGTTCACAAATGTAATGCAACATCTGCTGAGTGTGCGCACGTATGAGCCAAACTTGAGCACATTTTCAGTGTGGATGTGTGTGCAGTTACACGCAAGCAGGTGCTGTCGGGGTCACCTTGTTTTTTGCTTCGCCACTTGAAGCTGGCTGACCGCCGTACGTGTGTGTTTGTACATGCATACGCGTGTTAGCTGTGTTGCTGTCACACTGAGAAAATAAATATCGAGTCACTGAATCAGGGTCAGTGTTTGAGTTCTGGACAGTTTGAACCTCTGTAACGTGTGTCAGACAACAAACCCCGTCCAGACACACTCTTTTACAATCATATGATAACTTAAAGGTGAGGTTTAATGTTCAGAGTCAATTATAAGTAAGCCATTAGTAGTTTGACTTCCTGTACATTGTGAGTCTGTTGTGGGCGCCGGGTCAGAAAGCTCTCGGAATTCATCAAAAATATTTTCATTTGTGTTCTGAAGACGAACGAAGGTTTTACTGGTCTGGAACGACATGAAGGCGAGTAATTAGTGACAAAATTTTTGGGTGAACTATCCCTTTAAGAATTGAAGACCCTAACAGCCACCAAGAACAATCTAGCACCCACCTAGCAACCCTCTGCATCTTATCAATGGCCCAGAACAGCCTATCATCCACCTTAAATGACCCGGAACACCCTAGCAACCACTCAAAACACCATAGCAACTGTCCAGAACAGCCTAACATCCACTTAGAAACCACCCAGAACATGCTAACAACCACCCTAAACACCCTAACAAGGGCCAGTCTAGAATCCACCTAGCAACAACTCAGAACACCCTAGCATCCACCTAGAAACCATCCAAAGCACCCTAACAACCATACTCAACACCCTAGCAACCAACCACTCAGAACAGCCAACTATCCACCTTGAAACCATCCAAAACACCCTAACAACCATCCTTAACACCCTAACAACCACCAAGGACAGCTTAGCATCTAACTGGAGATGACCCAGAACACCCTAGCAACCATTTAAAACATCGTAACAGCCACTCAGAACACCCTAAAATCACCCAGAACAGTCTAACATCCACCTAACAAATCCAGAACACCATAGCAAAGTGACTCAATCACCCAGGACTACCTGGCATCATGGCAGTAAGTTTTGTGCATGTAAAAATGTAAAGAGCGAGCAGTTTTGTTTGGTGCTGTTAGCGGTACACAAATGCAACTTTATCTGTTGTAAAACTCACAGTTTGTTTAATAATTCCAGAATAAATCCAGTACATGCTGCGGGAAGAACATGT